TATAGCTTTTAGCACTAAGCGTACATGCTATTTATGCTCTAAAAGGCTATTACTGTAGATTAGAATATTATTAATATACATAGTGCAGAACATGTCTAAGTAGGGTTAAAGCAAGTTATTTATAAAATGTTAAAAAGTACTAGGCGCGTTAGCTAAGCTAAAAGGCATTACTAAGTACTTAAATAGTCTATATTAGGTCTAAAACGCTGTTAGCTACTTATTACCCTTTACTATCTTTAGCTTATTAAAGGTAGTAATAATATCTAACTTTATAAAATACTTTACTTTACTTAGTTAGCTTAAGGTTTTCTATAAAAAAAAATTAAGTATTAGTTTTTAATAGTAATAGCATTTAGTTTTTAGTAGTTAATATAAAATTAAAGCCTACTTTTAAGTTTTTTTATAAATAGTATAAGTAACACTACTAGTAAAAAGCTAGCTTAAATAAACTTTTTTTTTAAGTTTTTATTAAAGTATTTTTAAAGCACTTTTAATTTATTTAGTAATATTTTATATAGTAGCTTATAACTAGGTTGTTTACTAAGCTTAAAAGTTATTTAGTAATTATATAAATATTATATTAAAAGCTTATTAAACTTATCTTAAAAAAAAACATGTAATAAGTTGTAGTAGTCTTAAAAGACTATTATTTTTAAGTTAGTATGTTTTTAAGAAGCTAAAGCTTAGTCTATATTAAAAATTATAACTGCGTAGATTTTATAATCTAGTTATTAAGCTAGAGTTATAAATAAGGCAGGTTCTATATAGCAGATGTCTATTTGCTATTTAAGTCCTAGTTTATGTCTAAATTAAGTAAGTAAAAATTTTTTAAAAACTTTTTTTTTTAAGTTTAAGTAGTTATTAAATTATTTTACATAGCCTATTTTAGTAAAAGGCCTAGCTTATTAGCCTTACTTAGGTAGTTCTTTTTTAAGTTATTAAAAAGTAAGTTTAAAAACCTTTTATATTAAGTGCTACTTAAGTATTATTTAGGTGTAAGTGTAAGTATATATTTTAGCATTAAAAAAAGTTAAAGTTTAAGACTTACTTTTAGTAATTAAAGGCAACTTTATACTAATATAGCTATAGTTGTCTTAGAATTAAGTTATAACATTTTATGTTTATTACATAGAGCTTAATCTGCTTCTTATAGTGTTAGTAAGTAATTATAAT